CTAATTTATGATTTTAATACAATTATAAAAATAAAAAACTTTTTAAAAACTAATTAGAAAGGAGTTGATCTCAATAAAAACTAAACTAAAACATACATAAAAATTTGAGTATTACTTAAAATAAGTTTCTAATCTGTGATATTTTTATAGAAATAGTATACATTTTTTAATATAATTTAAATATATAATAATATATACAATACATACCAATAAGTATTTTTTAATAAGTATATTTTTACAAGTTTATACAGCGTTATTTTTAACAATCTAAAATGCTAAATTGCGCAAACAATATAAATAAATTTAATGTAGCTTTTTTTTTCCATCTTCTTTTGGTGAATATTTATATTTTTCTAAATACGACATATTAATCTTTTTTTTTCTTTATTTGGTAACCGAAGTAAAAAAGCCGTTTGAAAAATACACGAAACCTGACATGTTCAAAAAAGGAATTATATGTGTTTTCTTACATGCTCCTGAATAATAATTTTGGAGGCTAATTTTTATCATTTTTGATAAGAAAAGGAAAAATTATAATAATATAGTTTGCTTTAAGATGTATTTTATTTACTAATTTATTGGCTGTTTTCTAATATCCGGGGATTCAGATATCATACTGGCCAATGTAGTGCACACTCTAAAATATGTATTGTTATGAACATGTATTTCAGCATTAAATTACAAGAGTTCTTTAATGACAAATAACTAAAAGAACTAAACGAAAACAAGAAATTTTAACTAGGGTTCTAAATGTCTGAAACATTACTATCTTTAAAAAAATTAAAAAAATTGCATATTACGAAATATTAAATCTATATCTCTTGCCACTTGGTCATATTGAAATTGCTATTCATAACGTTACAGTCCAAAATATAAAAAATTAAATAAATAAATAGCTTTTGCAAACGTTTTTCCAGCTTATGGCCAAACATGGCGCTTAGGATATACCTTGTCATGATGCCCTGAGATATTAAAAAGCGAGAATACAATCACACACAGGAGAAAGGGGGGCTGCGCAATAAAAAAAGGAATACCGAAACAAAGAGTTCTTCATGTCGTCTGTCGTAGATTCCCACGCTGGTTCTCCCCGCACTTGTTGCTTCCCTTAGTTTCGTCCCCCATTTTTATTCCCCCCCAACGGAGAATCTCTGCAGCAGCTGTCAATCAGGGCCACGTGTAGCGTGGGAACGCAGTTTCGTGTGCATGCCGCCGCGCACGGATCTGCAGCTGCTCATGATCAGGGTGAACGGTTTCGCAGGCCCCTGTCTGTATGTACTGGGCAATGGATAGAAGGGGAGAGGGGGGCGAAATTAAAGTACGCAGTGGAATTTCGATGAGGGGGAGGGAGCTTAAAAATTTGCGCTCCACATCTGGTTCTCCCATGGAATGCGCTTTTTCGAAGGAATTTTGAGGCTTATGTTATTTGTTTTTACCCAAATGTATTCAAATAATTATTTTAAAATTTGTTTTTAGCTTGTTTCGTTCATTTATAAAATTTAAATTTAATTATAGTTTACCACGAAATGCTTTGAAAATAGTTTCCATGAATGAAAATAGTTTTCCATGAAATTACCTCTAAGAAAGAAAAGAAAAAAAAAACACTCTAGTGTTACTTTTAAGTAATACACAGGAGAATTACCTAACACCACTCATAAGAATTTAGCGACCGCTCTAATTCGGGAAGTTAAACCATAATTTGATGTGATTAAAAGTATATTCCTCTGTAATTATGTGCTATGTTAAAAACTCTATAGTATACAAACATTTGTTAGAAGTTAACAGAACGAATCTTTTAATATTTTAAATTTTTTAGTTGAATATCACCAATAATTGCTTTATTTTTTATTATAATGGTTCTATTAGGTATATATTTTAATTGAAAATCGCCTATAGCGCTGTTTTGCAGAGAAATTTTGAGGCTTATCCAAATTGTTTTTTCCCAAATGCATTTAAATAATTATTCTAAGATTTTTTTAACTTGTTTCGTTGATTTATGAAATTTAAATATTTGAATATAGTTACAGTTTTTTATAAAATTTGGGCAGTCATCTCAAAGGAAAAAAAAACAGTATATTTTAATATTACTATTAAATAATATACAGGAGAATTACTTAAAAAGCACCCTTGATAAAAATTTAACGACAGCTCTAATTCGGGCCGTTTACTCCGAGTTCAATGTGATTAATAATATACTCTTTAGTAATTATGTGTTACTTTTAAAAATTCAATGGTTCACAAGCATTAATTTGAAAATAGCAGAAACTTTTAATATTTTATTTTTTAATTGAATAATGTCCATAATGGTATTATCATGTATGAAGTATCAATATCAATAGTCTCACAAGGTTTATCTTGTAATAAGCTATAAATATTAACAAAACTATGAAATGATTCATTTTAGTAGAATATTTAAAAAAAAGAAATATTGGTTGAAAAAGTATTATTGGTACACAATTATTACATCGCAATACAATATATGTAATTATTATAAATTTTTTTTTCGTTAACCTCAAACTGATTTATTCTAAGAAAAATCTATCTGTATTGGAACGAATATTTAAATACAATAAATTGAGACTCAAGAATCCGACCGATTTGTTTAAATGAATTTAATCAAATATTGCATGAAAAGAAAAAGAAAAAAAAAACGAAATACCGATATTTGAAATCATTTTTAGCATTCTGTGAAAGCCAACAGTTAGAGCTTGGCTACGAATGTATTATTTTTTTTTTTGGGGGGGGGGGCANTTTTTTTTGGGGGGGGGGGGGGTCAAAGTGAATTTGGAAACATAAACCATTATTTTTTAAACTTATTTATTCCTTACACACGTTATAAATGTATACCTCGTCTTCTGGAGCTATTGCAAAACTATTTGCCTTCATTGAGAGCATGTACAAAAATCTCTAACTGAAATATCAGCAAATTATTGTTTAATTGGTGCAACTTTTCAACTGAATTAAAACGAAAATACATATTAAGATCACTGAATTTGTAAGGGGGGCGGTACAAATAAACTTTTTTAATATTCATTTAATTTAATATTTAAATATAGTCGGCTTTAAGCAAAGGTAAAAAAAAAATTCAGCGTGAATATCTATTCTTTAAAATTGTGACACATTTATTAGTAAGCAATGGAATTTTTCCTAAAATTTTATACAGATTTCAAAATAAATAAATACTTAATCTGTTCAGTTATGAATTATATTTAAAAAATTCAAAAGTTATAAGATGTAAAAAATAAAGGAGCATTATTTGTTTAGTAAATAAATAATTTCAATCAACTATTTTATTTGGCTTTGTAAAATTTAACTGTGAACTTCTAACTTCTTATCTGATATTTTAAGACTCAGGCAGAAAAGTGCAATATCGATTTTGGGTTTCAAAAGAACACTTATCAATCAAAATTCACCTTTTGAAAAAAATCTATCATTTGTAAAAATTATAATTGTTAATTTATTTATATGTCGTTACGATCCACATGAATTTAATTTTTTCTTTTTAAATAAAATTTTTTCGCAGTTAAGATGACCAATGCCACCTTAAAAAAAATCCTTTTAAGGGGCTGATGAAATATTTGTATTTTTTTTAAAAAAATTGCGTTCGCTTTTTTAAGAATTCTTGAGTTCCTATATTCACTTCATTGCCTTCAACATACTCCCTCAATCTGATTGAGTCAGGTCTATAATTTTTTGGGGGTACATAATTTCCGGTACAATTAAAGTTATTCAGATTAGCTAAATTTACTTTAAGTAAGTTTAGAAAGAAAAGCTTCCAGATATTTCGGCTTAATCTAGAAATTTCGTTCTTTTACACAAATGAATACTGAGAATTTTTTTTTTTATTCCAATAAATTCAATTTTACTAAGATATGAGTTAATATTTTAACTATTTATTTTATTCAAAAAAAATAAGAGAATGAATTAAATGGTGTTTGAATACGAAGGAAATAGTATTTTACCCTACAAAATTAATTTAAATATTAAATAAAAGCTTCGTTTGATGTATGCTTTTTTGTTTTTCACTGTTACTTTTTAATACTATGGATTTAACAAATTGCAAACCAGAATTAACTGATTCTGTAACTTTATCGAAACTAACAATAATTACTTGATAATAAATGTCCCTATTTAAACTAGTATCATCTAAGCTATTGGATTCTTCGAAAAAAATATGGCTTGGGCCTAGCATATTTACTCCCACAGCTCTGAAAGTACAAGATGTTGTTTCCCCCTCTGAAATTAAAAACCTTCTCTTTTCTTTTAACTTTCTCTAATTTTTTCAAAATGCTCTAACCATGAAGTTATTGCTTTAAAATTTTTTTCATTAAGTATCATTTGTGAATTCAATTTCCTACTATATGTGCTTTGATTTGAAAATGCTTTTCTTTAAAATAAAAGCTGATAGATTCACTGTGATAATGAAGTATGATTTTTGTTGTTAATGAGTATTTCCTGATATGTTTAATTTTCTTATTTTAAATAAATAAACATCTGAAACAGTTTTAGAAATCTTAACAGATTTTTACTTTCCTTTAAAGTCATCTTCAATAACTTTACTCTCCTATTTTTACAGTAGTAAATCTTATTAAATGTAATATTTAAAGACAAATAGCATGTATTAAAATCCCAACTAAAAATTTGACAAAGAAATTAAATGCTTATCTGAGTTATCATCAGAATGAAAAATTAGAACATTTCTACCTTAAACTTAGCAAAAAAATGATTTTAAAATGCTATAAAATAAAATTTTACAACTTTCAATTGCAGATTTGAAATATGAGCATTTGGAATATTTTAACAACAATTGCCAACTAGTAAAAAATTAATTCAGCAAAGAAAAAATTTCAAAGATATTAAATAAATATTTAATTAACAAAAAATTTAGCATCAGTAAATGAAATAAAAGCATGAATCTAGTCAATTGAAAACACAGTTGGCAAATATTGCGAAAATAATCCAATGTTTACCTGAAAAGCAAAAGAAGCCATTGAAAACACAAGTTTCATATTTAAATAAAATCTTATTTATTCTCCGACGAAATATGGAAGGAGATTTTTTTGCATTGCAAAAATTTGAATGAGTATCAGATATCGATGTCAACAAATGATCAACATAGCACCGGCTTGAATTCTATCACAGATAAAATAGGACATGTAATTGTCCTATAGCAAGATAAAGCTCTATAATATATTAACATTTTTTACAATAATATTTACAATTTGTGCGTTTAGTCCTTGTTGAATAGTTCTCGGTGTAAAAGAGAAAAATGTCTTAGAATTCCCAACTAGGTCGTTCTGTAGAGGAACTCATGGTTTTATGAATCTAACAGTTCATAAGTAGGAATCTCGAGAATTAGTCCAGTTCAGCAAGGTAAACAATAAAGGTTTTAGATGAAATAGTCCAATTTAGAAAGGCCTCCAAACTGCCTTGGATTCTTGCTTGATGCTCATAGCAGGAACGATAACTGGGCAATGTTGAACTGGCATTTGCATTTGATGATGATGCATTAGAGGACTTGGACTGCATCGGTCACTTGATGCAGGACTAAGGATACCAGATGAACCTAGGACATTGATAGGACCTGGAGATGATGTTGTGGACATTGGTGAAGATATGGATGATGTGGAGCTGGCTGGACTGATGGGGACTGTGGATGGTGCATAAACAGATAATTGAGCAGGCAAAAGGAATGCAATGTCACCACTGGGCAGTCTGGTTGGAACAAGCTGGACACCGCCAAGCAGTCTGGTGGAGGTGTTGTCAGATTCGGTGGAAGCTCCAACTTGGACATGAACTGGAGGAAGAGGACTGGGTGGTGGGTTGTTCATGCCGGTGAGACAGTTTGCAAGGTGGTTCATGAGTCGTTGACGAATGGTATGGTCAACACCGTCGATTCTACCCATAAATCTATTGACCTCATTGGCGCATTCAGCAAATCCAGCACGGAATTTGGCAATCATGGCAGGATCAGGGTTCATCTGCTGCATTTGGAGATTCTGCAAGTGTTTCACTGTCATCTCCAGGATATCAGCTTTCTCTAATTTAGAGTGGCGAGCATTCTAAAAGAGATTAAAAGAATCATAAGTAATCATGAATTTTTTTAATTGAAAACAACATTTGCAAATATTCAAATTTTTAACTTTATAAGTCATTAATATTTTAACCTTAATTTTCTATTAAAATTTGAAGTTTATTAAAACCCATTTATTAAAAAAAAAATATGAAAAGTTAAAAATACTAAGTTATGAAAAGTTAAAAGTACTAAGTTCAATCTTGTAAACTTAAACATTAAATAGATTAAGCAAAAAAATTAATTAATTTAATAATTTTGCATTTTAATGAAAATTATCAGTCTTATTTATTTGATACTGGTTTTTAACACTTTGAATCTTTAACAATTAATTACTTAACAATACTAAACTGTAGTATATCTAGAATAATAAACACAACAGTACGAATACTTACATCTTTTTTTAATGCATCCAAGATGAGATTCTTGAGTTCCGTTAAACTGTTATTGATTCGAGCCCTTCGACGTTTCTCCATAATAGGTTTTGTACTCTATAAATAAACAAGAAAAATCATAAGTCCTCCAGTTCAAAATAAACATATAAAACAAATATTAAATTTTTAATAAATTTTAATTTAAATAATAATAACAATAATTAATAGCTTACCCGTCGAGTCTCGCTAGACTTTGTCACTGTTTTTTCAGAAGGCATGATTATCAAGTGTGAAGTAATCCAAAAAGTACGGAAGAAAATGTAAACACAAGTTTGAAAAATATCAGAGAGCAAGAGCGTTCGAAGCTAGCGACTGATCAGAACACGTGCAAGAGCAAAAGTGTAGGAATCTGAGGTCGGGTGGTTAGTTTTATTACGAGGCAGGGTCACCCAGCCATGATCCTGAGAGCGTGTCAAGCGTTACTTTCCCACGGTTAGATCCCAAGCCTCTCGACCAATCAGAAGGAAGCATTTGTGTTCTGGCTCGCGACGGACATGTGGCTCTTTTCTAGGGTTGTAGTGCGTGAGGCGATAAGCAAGCGGACGCGTGAACAGGTGTGCCATTTTTAGTTCTTGGCTGTGTTTTTTGGTGGTTGGCGTTTGATTTCGGTTGGCGTGAATCTGTGTTGCGTCTACCTTTTGAATATATTTTATGGAGAATTTTGGATAGTTTCGTTTTTTTTAAATTGCATTTTAAATCGAACATAAGACATCAATACTTGAAAAAATATCTTATAATCTTTTCTGTTTACATGAGGTGTTGAACTTTTTTTATTAGTTAAACTCCTTAATTTCCTTACTTGTTATTTTAGTTCAAATTTGATATCCTTTTAAATATCATCCGCATGTTCAAAGCTTTTTCTTTAATTTTTATATTCGGTGCTTAATTAAACAATTATGAAAACATAATAAATATGGATTTAAAATTTCGTATTAATTTTAGTAATTAAATTTATTACCTAAAAACTTTATTGTGATTTTACAACCATGTAAAACTTAAGATCATTTTATAATAATTATGAGGTTTTAAAAATACGTTTTTTACCAAAGATTTAAATTACACATTTTTAAGTTTTTTCATGCATAATATAGTTATAGTAGTATTTATTACAGTTCAAATATCTTTAATAACGTTTTGAAAATGCTTTTTTTTCCGAAATGAACGAGAAAAATATTCAAAAAAATTTAACCGTAACTCAAAAATAAAAAATTAATTCCACAGAGCTGTTAAACCTATTATGTTTTTCAAGTGAGATAATTAATTTACACAAGATAAATTTCTAAATATGTTCATAAATATTTAAAGTATAAATGTGAAAGTCTTCCAAAAATATTAACACTTTTTTGCTGTTTTTAGATAATTGATCAATTTGACCAGCATTATATCTAGTATGCCAATTTACAATACTTCTTTATAATAAAATACAACTAATTTCTATTACATCGGTGAGAACTAATATTATAATTGTTCCTTATGAATTTTCAACAAGTAAAGTGTTCTAAAAAGTTGCGCAACAGTTTGCAACTTTGTTCCTCAATGAAATAGGCGTGGTAAGTGTTCATACAATGCAAATTAATAGAACACAATACCATCTTTGTTCTTGTAAATGAAAATGAATTATTTTTAAACTGCGTATTGTGTGTCCATTGAATGGTTTTTAAGAGATTGATTTAATTCGTAAGAAGACTCTTTCTTTAAAATGATTGAATGAGTTTAATTTTAGTGTGTCCGGAAGTTAGCCACTTACTTACTACACATTCACGTGAGTGGTGTATTGTTTATGGAAGGAAGCTCTTAATAGCTCTTCATAAACTTCAATCACGATTTTCATTCATAAGCCCCGTTCTTTTCCGTTTCATCAGCTGTTGCTCGTGACAACAGATGTTAGAAACCGTTTTGTTTCAATTTGAAATCGAATATGCACGTTGCATGTATAACTAGTACAATGATAGAACATAGCATTTTTTAAAAATAAATATAAGCTTCATTTGCTCCGTTTTTTTTATTTTTATTTTATTTCTAAAAGTCGCTATTTAACTAATTTGTGGTAGAATGCACACAAAGTAATTTAAAAATAACTAGCTCAAACAACGATATGTTGGAATAAAAACGGGAAAAATAAGGTGGGGGCAAAGTTATGAATAAAATTGTTAAGTAAAATTAATATAAAATTTCAATCAAAACAGATTTATTAATAGATCATAACGTTACCATAACCATACCAAATTTATGAATAGAATTGTTAAGTAAAATTAGTACAGAATTTTAACCACAATAAATTCATTAATAGACCTCAACATTACCATAACTATATCAAATTTATTAATAGAACTGTTATTTAAGGCTAATGTAGAATTTTATCAATATAAGAATAGCATTAACCAAATATATAAATAAATATAATTAAATAATATTACCATATAGTAAGTTAATTAATAGAATTAATTTTAACCATAACAAATTTTATAATAAATTTATCAATAAACCATAAACTTATCAAATGTATTAATAGAATCATTAAGTAAAATTAATATGGAGTTTTAACCGTAAATTTCTGTTATAATATACCAAAATATTCCTGCACCCTTTGGTTAGATTCTTCTTTTAAACTGATTGAAAATTCGAAAATTTTACACCACTCAACCTAAAAACATCTATCATAAAAACATCCAAAATGCAATATCAAAAAAAAATATATATAATTCGAATAAATGTGTACATATCTATGCATAAAAATTTAAATCTATGACGTTTTTAAGTTAAGAGCGTCATACATAATTAATAATACTCTTTACATAGTCAATGGAACTTACACAAATATTTAGGACTTTGCCGGAACGAGAACGGTAGGACAATTAATCAAAACAAAACTTTGTATTCAATATTATTCAATCAAACATAGGGGGGGGGGACAAATAATTTTAATAGTATAACGTAATTAAATTTATAAGCATTATTTCAATGTAATATATTATTTTCTATAAATAATTAACGATTGTAACATGTTTTACTAAACAGAAAATGTAACTTTCAGACATAATTTTATGTTGGCTTCTGGTATGATGTAAATAACAGTTATTCCTTGGAAATATTGTTTGTTATTTGGTTAGAAAAATAAATTAACTTTTCACCACAGCTGGTTATTTTTCACAGTTTTTCTGCATTCTTTTCATTTCAATTATGCTGGTTTTTTTTTCATGCAAATTATTAGATAAAATTGTTGAACAGGGAGAGTTTAGAAAAATTAATAGCTCTTAAATTTTAATAATTTTTCAAAGAATTTACTTTCTTCGCTATTATTTTTAGTGCCCAATTTATGTAACAAGATACAAAATATGCAAATTTAGATACAAAATATGCTTATTAGAATTTGGCCATTAAAGAAGCTTTTTATTTTCTCCGAAAATTAGTGTTTTAAAAAAAAATTCTATATGTTATTCATATGCATTGATTTATATTCTAAAATGTGGAGAGATCGCCAAATATAGCAACCTCCATGATGCAAGTTCACCTTACTTCCAGCATCTCCAATCAATTGTCTTCCCCCCTTTATTCTCTGCGTTCCCCCACGCACAAATCGAGTCGAAATCGCGACATATGCCCATAGTAGTAGCACGTGGCTGACTTTTTTTTTTATGGAAGAGCGCATGCGTTTGAGTGTGGGAAAACTCCGCCCCGTTTCTGAAGGAAGGAACTAAACAGCGGGCTTGCAGTGTAAACAACTGAGAATCTTTCCCCCCCTGTGCCCACGCGCCCCACTTGCTGCTCCCCACCCTGCTTTTGACAGGGTGGGAAAGGAAGGGGGTAGCCAGGACTTAATACATCCCGGTGTTAGTAGGAAATTATTCTACATATCAGAAAGATAGGGATAAATCAAAACGATCTGAGGGATTTTTTGGAGGGAACAGTTTTCGTGAGGGGAAACAACGGAATTCCGTAACTTCTCTTTTTCATTAAAACGTTCTCTTTAAATTTAAGCAAAATTGAAAATTATTAAAAATGATTTTAAAAAATTTAACTCATAAATAAGATTTTATTTATGCTCATCATTATGTTTACATATTTGTTTACTAATCGGGTTTAGTTTAAGCCCTAAACAGACCTGAAAAATATAAAAATTTGTATTGAAATATGATTGAATTTAACTAAAAATAGTAATGATATAGCGAAAATTACTATTGAACACGCAATTTTTGGTCGGAATTTCGGTTTCATTATTTAAAAAATTCAAATATGAAAATTTTGCATTAAATTTAAAACATAATTTTTAAAAAAATGGGAATATATTATAAGCAGTTTAAAATTCAGCAGTTTGAAACTCAAATGCAATTTTCTTTTCAAATGTTTTTCCAGTTGTGTTTCTTTTCTTTTTTTCTTCTTTTCAAATTCTTGAGATGTGAAATTGCATCATGCAATTTTACATTAATATTGAACGACGTGAAAACCACTAAAATCCTGATAGAAGACATTTTGTTTCATTTGAAAATGAAAATTCCGTGTAATTTAGAGTTGAAATCAGAACCAAAGTTAGAAATACACAATGCAAAAATCAAAACTCTATTGAATTCTAAGATTACGTAAGACTAATAAAAATAGAATAATATAGGAAATAAATTTCTTTGCTGAAAGTGAATAAAATACTCTATATAATTAAACAAAATAATGCTTTCATTCCTATAATTGCTAAGTACTGAAAGTGGCGAAACTGAAAATAAATAATAACAAAAATAAATAATGACTGCGTAATTAACCGATTGCTTGAAAAGTGCTGCCGTTGATAAAATTAATATAAAAGATTTACGTAGAATAATTTATTCCTTTGAATTTATGATAAATTTTTTCAAACCGTCCCTGAAACGGGGCATAGATTGTATATTTATTTCAATTGTAAAATTTCAAAACTAAAGAATTGACATTTAATGAAATAGATAATACATAAAATAACTTATTTAACAAGGAAAATTTGATTTGTAATACCCGTTGTATAATATTAGGAGGAAAAAAAAAACTAGTTTTGTGGAATATCATCAGAAGCGTGTCTGTCAGGAAGAGTGTTTTTCCCTATTGCCTTCAAAAAGAGGAAACAGATTTTCCCTACGGTAAAAAAAGAACATACAACACAAGAGAAGTTTACTGATGCGTGCAAAAAAGAAAGGGGGGGGGGTTGAAAAAGTTATACAGGTGGGCATGGGGCAAGGAAACTTTTTACGTTAATGGAATCTCAACCATTATTTGGTAGAGGGGCAGGGGACGACAGTTTGAAACCTTTTCGAAGGCGATGTCGTGGGAACGTAGCAAAAAATTCTCCAAAAGCACTCAATTG